CAAAATGCAATTAACCGTGCTTTGTACTTTGTAATTTAATGAGACACGGTAGTATCATATATTTGCCGGCCACCGTCACGGCTGTTTAAAGGTCAGATGCTGCGTCCGTCGCCGTCGGGAATTTCGGGCCCCGAGAAGTTGCCCGGGCTGATCGATAGCTTATAAAATTGCTCGTTATACAACAGGAGAGCTGCGCGAGCTCCCGCGCAACAATTCGCCTTGTTACCCCACGCGTCGCCTCGCGCTTCCCGCTTGGGCGAGCTTTCGCCGCTCGACCCGGCCCCGTGCATTTGGCATTTGCAGCGAGCTGTGCGGTGCAGCGCGGCAATTAAGACCACGATAACATGCAGTCGCCATCACGGTCGCTGATAGGACACACTCGCGTTGGCAAGCCTATTAAAACTTGCGCTCTTTCCTTCCGCTCGCTTGCCGAAGAGCAAAATCTCGAGAAACACGCGGCAATGTTCAGAATGATAAATATCGTGATGAATAATCGCGAGAAAAATCCGAGGAAATGAGCCGAGAGCTCTGCAGGATCTCATTCTGAGCTTTGAGAGAAAAGGATAACGGAGAAAAGCTGATTCTGATTTTAGCAGAATTCCTCACGATGTTTGCGCGAGTAAAAGGGATTTGCATCATTTAATCACTTTATTACTGCAAATACTTGCAGTAATAAAGTGATTAAAAACTATACACTGAAGAAAGAGTGCGACCGTTTAAATAATATTTATTTCATCCAAATGAAGTGGTTGCTCCAATATTCCTCGGCAAATATAAAAGTAGAAATATAATTGACTCTATACATGATATATTTCCTTCGTATAGGTAGATATTTATTTGTACGTGTTAAAACAATGGACAAGTATTAAATTTTTAATATGAGGATATCAGAATTTATTTTTAGAAATTATTCATTGAACAGGAGAATTTAAATAAAAAAAAAATTCTAGTTTTCTTCAATGAAAAAGAAATATTATATAATTTTATTAAATATATACTCTAATATATACTCTCTTAAATCAATCCTTAAAATTATTTTATATTTGTATTCAGTAATTTATTTATAAATTAAGGTATGGCGTTCAAGTAAGTATTTACTACAAGCTATTTAAATTTATAAAAGTATTATTTGATTTATATAAGAAGCTGAAAAAAACGAGTAATTATGTTTATTTGATTCTAGCACTTTTTTTTTCTATATACGCCTTCCACGGCATCTAAGCACAAAGTGACGCGTCACCAAGAGCTTATAAATATTTAGGTCTCATCTCTGAACTCTTATCTCAATACGCTCATGACGTCGGTCTTTCGTTGACGTTGCACTTCGAAGTGCACCATTTCAGGAAGCCGCGCAACTTTGACTCTACATCTGTTAATTTGCAGCATTGTTAATTTGCGACTCTGACTGTACAGATGTTAGAACCTTCGCCGTTCAATTAAAAGTTCAATGACTTTTCTTGGCTCTATAATTGTATTCTCTTCGGACGACGCACCGATGCATCCGCAGGATGCAGCTGCGCTGTCTTTTCCAACGAAATCGTGCGACTTTTTTCTCCTTCCTCTTACGTGCGTACAGAAATCGATTCTCTGCATTTCTGTCGAGAGAAACCAGCGCGCGCGTGTACAAATCCACAAACAGCACCTTACGCTGCACCTGCAATCTAGAGAGTCAGTCGGTCGCGTGGGAATAATCGCAGCAATTTTCATTATATTATACGCGTAGGCGGCGCGCTTTCGTGTGCCGTGTATGCAGAATTTCGCACGACACGTAAGCGTGTGTGCGTCCCGCTTAATGCGAGACGCAATCCAACGCGTCGTCAATGTTAGAAATTTCGTAATCGAGTTTTCCACGGTATTTAGAGCGTAATACGCGTGACACATGCTGTATGAACGCGAGTCCGCGCGCGGTATCGCGTGCGGATTTTCGTAAAATCGCACCGGACACGCTTTCAATTACGCCCTTTAAATTTCTTGAAATAAAATCCCTCTCTCGTAAAAACGCAGAGTTGTTCGAAGAGACAGCAGAAATACCGTCGCCACTCGGAGTCGCAACAGTGAATGTTTGACGCAAACCCGATAGAGTGGATTCTTAATTCACGCGAGTGAACATTTCAGTCGATCAGTGAATTTGTTTCAGGGAAGAGAGCCAGAGAAAATCGGATTCACTTCTTCGATTTCGAGTGAATATGCACTCGGCGCGATTCTGAGTGGAGAATTCACTCCGTACGAGAGTGGAAAGTCATTCGACTTGGAGTGACTCGGCGGCTGTCACTCCACCTTTCCAATTTCGCTCGAAGAAATTTGGAGGAAATCTCACTCAAAACGAGTGAACATTCATTCGAGGCGGTAGTGTAATCACGTGGAATCGCAAGAGCGAACTCAACCATATAATGGATTCTTAATCGATACAGCTTAATGTTTCAGCCGTGCAGGGTGAATTTGTTCCAGTTACGCTGAAGTATGTCGAATTCACTCTACTGAAATTTCGACTGAAAATATCCCACTCGGGTGAATATTCACTCACTTTTCGTTCATACAGAGTGAATTCTTTCATTCTCAATATTTTCGAGCGGAAATATATTTTATTAAATACAAATGAAAAGTCACTTCGAGTGACTTAACTGTCACTTCACTTTTCAAGTGATCACTCGGAAAGATTCAGAGTGCCGAAAACTCCGTTTTCGGAAATGTGCACATCTTACTTTTCGGAAATCGAAAAACCTCGCGTACTCATTGCGCACGCCACGTACGACCGTGCCGGACCGTTCTCGGCCAGTTCGCCGAGCGTGTTTCTCTCAATTAACAATCGGCCGTTAATCAGCCCACTCTCGCTACCGAGTGTACCGTAATATTAAGAGCAACGGAGCCCACCACTTGTCCGCGCTAGTCGTCCCGAGATTAAACGCGACAGAGCGACATTGGTCGTTGATACCAGAGTCCTCCGTACGTTTTCGCCCGACAGATAACTGCTATCATCTACATTGTCGGTCCCAATTTTTACTGCGATAATACTCCACCGAGTGACTATCTCCGAGAACCCTTTGTGCGGTTAAATAATTTTATTAAATTAAATAACTTTACAAAATAATAAAAATATTGTTTTTTCTACAGAACAACATAGCTTATTTCAGGGAAGCAACACTTTCAGAACAGAAACGATATTCGATATTAAATTACCTTGTTTACATTAAACAAACCCAAATCAAACAAACGGATATGCTACATCCAAAGGGACTTTTTTTCTATGCTAGAAGAATGTAGAAAGAGTAAAATAAAATTTTACGCCGAGAAATCCCTTTTGCCCGTTTCCGCGAGTGTATTGATAACCGAGGTTCGGCGAAACGAACGATCATTGTGAAACATGACCCCAATGACCCTCAATCTGATCGCATTAGGCGAACGCGCGTATACATTACGCGCTACCTAGGCGACGCGTAATTTCATTAGGACGCCGTGCATTCCGCGGGAACGGCGGACGTCGCGGTCGAAAGTTCGCGACGCCGCTGAATCCGCTCTAAGTAGCAATGCATCGCCGGTAATTGGCATAATGCAACCTAATGTACGAGCGCCGTCGTAATGCGGTCGATTAAACTTTCAACGATACACCACTCGCGTCTCTGAATCGCTGAATCGTGAGCGCGCGCGCGCTCTAACCCCAATTGCTTGCTAGAGCACCACCGTCGACGACGCTCCCTTTCGTCCTTCGTCGAATCAATAGCGCAACAAGGGAGACGCGCGAGACATCTCGCGATTTAATTCACGCGAGGTTGGAATCTGATCTCGATGGAGATAGAATTTCCCCGAGGCCAGAAAGTCGGATTTTCCAACAATTCGCGCTACGGTCGCGTACCCGCTCTCTAAATTTCTCGACGAGAAGTTTCAAATCCAATACAGAAATTTTACTGGAAGGGATATTAAAAATACCGCTGCTCGCGAGAACTGCAAGAGCGGACGCTTAATTCGGAGAACAGATTTCGAATTTATACAAATGTATGATTCAGTCAGGTCAGAGTGAATTTGAATCCAAGGGTGGTCGAATATCTCGAATTTACTCTTCGGTTTACTTTTCGATTTCGAATTTCTGTCTAAATTGCCCGGGGATGAAATAATGTCGCTTAAAACACGTGAAAAGTGGCAGTATTCTCACTCGAACAGTGGTAATACCGCCACACCAAGTCGCAAGAGCGGATGTTTCGCTCAAGCTCGGAGTGGATTCTGACTCCATCGTATGAGCGAATGTTCCGATCGATTGGAGTGTATACGTTCCTGCGACGGTGAAGTACAGTCGGCGACGTGTATGCTGTACCATTTCCTGGATTGAAACTTTGTACCGTTACACAATTTTTTGCCTTTCACATACACACATAAGATCGAAACTGCTATAATTAGAGCCACTAACCCTAGGATTATAACTAGAGTTACTTCTGTGTGATTTGTGATCTTACTTATTATGTGTAAGGCTAAAAGTCGCGTAATTCTTGGTCTAGGGAGTGGTACAGCATATATGATGCCGACTATACATCAGATTCACTTCGCAATTCACAAGCAATTTCTTCTCAGATGAGATTTCCACTCCAAGAAATTCAGAGAGAGAATGGAACCATTCGTTTTGCGTTTCAGAATGGAGGAATTCGCTCGACATGCGTGAAAAGTCTCTCGACTTTTCGAGTATGATTGAAAGGCTCGGTGTAAAAAGCGGTCAGCTGCATTTTTTTAATTCGCACGATATTAACAAAAAAAAAACTGTTTTATGATTATCGTTTAAATATATAAATATAGTTGTGCTAATACATTTTTGGACAAAAATAGTTTTATTGGAAACGACAGTTTTAATAAAAAGTATTTTTCTTAAACGAATTTGACCGGTCTTGGCTCTTCAATTTCGCTCGACGAAACTACGAGAGCGCATCTGACGACGCGGTCATCGCGATCGTCGTTAAGTGGAAATCCACCGAGCTGGTCAGACGCCACACCTGCGGCACTATTTCTACGACTCCTACCTGATTCGCCTTGTTGATCTGCTTCTTAAGCCCGGCGAACGCCATGATGCTGTGTCGGGTCTCGTCGCTTCCCTGGATCACGCAAGATCGAATCGTCCCGCAACTGCAACAAGCACAAAACACAGAAACGCGAGTGAGTAATAAAACGCATGCGATCGACTGGGAAGCGAGAGTGCAGGTGGGGAAAACTACGCGTCATTTTCTACAGTTCGCGCCGCGCAAGAACGGAGCGACGCAGTAAACAGGACGAGGCTCCCGAATTTATGTTCGCCCGACAACGCAGCGCAGCGCACGATGGCTGGCAGTTCGCCAAGGCAAAACGGATGATTTTCAATGTTATCGATCACCTGTGCTTTCCAGCATCGTGACTCGTCCGTCCACTGATGTAACACCCGGCTTTACATCGCTCCGCGTGCGTCGACGGCCGCTGGTGATGGTGGTGGTGGTAATGCACGGTACGCTTTCGCGCGCGTGTCACAGTGATCTCACACGTGAAGCCGTATCGCGACGTGACGACCTGACCTCTTAACAGGCTCTAATGAGAGCAAATAATGCGTACGCTTATTAACGGCGCGCCGACGTGCGCATCGATACACGGGGGAAAAAAGCGACAGTGACCTGCGACGGAACCAGGAGCCAGATGGAAACTCGGCGACGAGAAGCGATATCTCCGTTACTCTGCGACTCGGGACATTCGTGTAAACATTTGACCGCATTAAAACCCAGTTGAGACAACTGAGGGCGATTGACTGAGTACACACAGAGGAAAAAGTTTCTTTGGATTTAAATAAAAGTATCAACAACCGGACGTTCTTATTGTTTTGATTTTTATCAACGGATATCTAAACTTTCGCCATGAATATATATACATATATTTAACATATACATATATTCTACGTTGAAAGTTTAAAAATATTCGTATTTCAAGATCAAAATAATAAGAATGCCTAGGTAAGTACGTGGCCGGGCATTGGTATTTTTATCTTAATAAAATTTCTTTAATTGAAACAAATCTTCTGGAAGCAGCAAATGAATGTTTGATTCAACAAATAGGATGTCGCAAGCAATAAATTATTTTAAAGAAGTAACACAAAGAAGTAACACTATTAGGGAAATATTAAAGAACTTTTGTATTTTAGTGAAACAATATTTAATATATAATGAAATCAATTTCTTTTTATTGAAAAGTAAAATATTACTTCCTCTAAATTGTTCTCCGTGCGGGACCTCCTCCTCCAGGAATTTTTCGGTTCTTATGATCGAGTTTTCATCTGGTTCCCGAGCAACGGAAAATTCAGTCGCACAAAAGGAATTGTTTTTTCCGCGTAAGTGATTCCTCGCGCGACTCTCATCGAAGTTGACGCGCGGACGGAGCGTTCGATAAGTAAAATGTGGATTTGCGCGCGAAGCCACCTGTATAAACGACGAGTCTGTGTAAAATTAATGAAATTTCCCAGATGGCTTTTATACTGAGTCGCTTTGGCGATCGCCAGTTGCGTCTTGTCGTTGATCGTTGTTATATGTTTCTAAAGTTTCCGTCGATCAAAAATGAAAAAGTAATCATCAGTGTTACATCGTAAAGAATAGACGTAATGGCAGGTCAATTGTTACCGACTTGAAAAGACGACACGATGTTGCGTCATCGATCGCCGAAGTGTCAATTGGCTGAGGGCGACTTTCACCGAACTCCGATTAAATTGGCCAATGATTAGGCGGCAGAATCGCCGAAAGCAATTTCCTATGTTACGTAATTTGCCGTCCAATAGTATCCAAAGAATTAACAATTCTGTCTATATTAGCAGGATAGAGCAGGTAATGCCTAATCGATAGAGAGCAATTTCAAATATAGGTTTAAAGAGAGGACAAAGGAGCTTTTTCTTACTCGTTTCAACATTTCGTTTCACAAACTGTCTTTTATTTTCCATGTCGGCGACTCCGCCGGCCGAGTTAATTGGCCAATCGTCAGTTGAATTAATCAGAAGATTCCGGGAGAAAGTCATTCCGGCTTAACGAGAGCGAGCGACAACGTGGTTTTAACAAAGGCGAGCATCGATCGATTAATGGAATAACGGAAGAGCTCTATGCGAGCTAGTCACGAGATCTATAAATGATACATCGCGAGAGCAAGCTTGCTCTATCGATGGTGACATACTTTCCGCACCAATACTCGTCTCTCTCTTTCTTTCTTATTCTTTCTCTCTTGCGTGCGCGCGAATTTCCAATTTTGTGCCAAGATGAAAAATTTAATGTTGACTCCATTTCACGAACGGGAATATGGGATCTCCGATCGATCAATATGCCATACGCAATGATCAAATACAACACATATTACCGTAAATAACCGATAGATGTCTCATAAAAGCGACGATACATCTCTCCCTCGTGAGAATTCTCGAGTTCGAAGAAGACATGCGTATCGAGTCCGTGCCCGACGGCGAACGGCTAAGAAGAAGCTCTATAAGCAAGCGCGAAGTCTACAATTGATCCGACACAGTCGACGATTCCGCAAAGGTCGTCGGAATCCGCGGCGATTAATTAATTACTCGGCGTATACCGAACTCGAAAGCTGCAAACCTAAAAGCTACGAACTATAAAAACAAGATTGTCAAATACACGCCCGAAGAAAGAGGGAAGAAGCCTGTGACGGTCGATCGCTGGCTGTTAGTGTGAACATTTAAATCATGGGAGGGTAATAATGTTCGTGACAATTTTTTTGTCGCGATAACGCATGCGCTGAAAATTTTTCCGAACTGACAATATACACTAAGAGAAAAATATTTGGCCTTTAATATATAAGGTCGCCAATTTATTTCTAGTTTGAGATTTTCTTTAAGATGGAGTGAAATTTGAAAACAGGTGAAAAATTTTAAACTTGATCTTCAGCTCGCCGGAACACACCGAAATGCGCACACGGTCTGCAGTGTGTTGATAATCCCCTTTAATCGACCTCTTGTATCATATTAATTATATTACATTGTATCATGTTATAATCCACCTCTCCTCGATCATTAAATATTCGGCGTGCACGTCAAACATTATTTATCCTTTAATAATTTAAATGCACCAATATTCGACGAAAATATCTCTTATAAATCTTTCCCTCCCTCTTTCTTCCAAGAGCTACACGGTAAAAAAAAGTTTGGTTGAATTTACCAGACAGTGAACAAACCAAATGCGTTTCGGTTGAAGGCGACAGAATTTTTGATTATAAGAACCAAATTTGTGTCGTAAGAACCAGAAATTCTGTTCCCTTCCAACCAAAACGCGTTTGGTTTGTTCACTGTCCGGTAAATTTAACCAAACTTTTCTTTCCGTGTGTGGCATGGCGTGCACTTTGCGCACAAGGGTTGTCGAGGTGATTCGTGCGAGGAACCGCCGATCGACGACAACCCTTTCCGCCGGGGCGACTCGCCAATTGCGAAATTGAGGTCTCCGTTAACGAGCGACTTAAACTGGTCTCTATCCTCCCCCCCCTCTCTCTCTCTCTCCCCCCTCACTCTTTCTCTCTCTCTCTCAAGAACAGTGACTACGGGCACGAGCGAATCCCGTAACGAGGACAAGCGCACATGACGAAGTCCTCGGTGCGCCCTGGAGTGCCCATGCACGTCCATAACGTAACATCGAAACGCAGCCAGGAACGCGCGCGCACTAATTAACGTGGCGTCCTCCGACGTTAATGACACCGCGGAGGCCGTCGTGAGCGTGACGATCGCGGTGGGCGCTATTAAAAGGCCGACGGTTCGATCGCGAATTGATAACGCGCGCGAGCCCTGCCGGGAGGGTCCTCGAAGAGGGAGTCGGGCAACCCGGGGCAGAAGAGGAAGATGAGATTCGCGACGAGAGCATCCGCGAGAACACTCGATGAGATGGCGGTGGAGCACCGACACACACGTGCGCATACATATGCCGGTCGCGATGACACGACAATTGGCGGCTTCACGCCGTCATTGCGCCGGTTTGACGACCGTCAACTTTAATTGGACCGAAAGAATCGTTAATTTCTTTAATTTAAACAGATACAGAGAGAGAGAGAGAGAGAGAGGGAGAGAGATATGTAGCGCTGCGTCATCGGTCGCATTAAGACTGACTCGACGATAAGCGACAGTCTTCTTCTCTCAGAAGGAGAGGAACGTCGCGTATCGATCGATTAATAGAGCAAAGGAGGAAGAGCTTTGCGAAAATTGGTGTCGTGAAATCTATAAATGATGCAAGCGAGTGAGGTTGTTGTTGAGCGCCGGAGTTGCGATTCTACGCCTACTCGCGCACTCCGTAGTGGCCGCGGGCTGCACAGCAGTGACTACGACACCGAGGATCTCAAACGAAAGTAGTCAGTCCTCCGACGGGAGAAAATATCGCGGAGGAAACGACGACGCCGAAGGAGATAGTCATTGATGAAGGATGGCGAAGGATGACGGATGCAGGAATTATCGCGCTCGACGAATTCGGCTCGAGAACGCGGTCGAAAATGGTCAATAACGTTGCCGTGGGCGCTTCGTGAGAGAGAAAGGGAGGTAGTGAGCGAGACAGAAAGAGGGAGAGAGAGAGGGAAGAAGAGAAGAAAGAGAGGCTGAACCGATCGCCCTCGGCTCGCCGTGTGCACCTCGTCACCCCCGCCGAGTCCGCGAACGGGACGACAGGTCGCTGACGAAGGAGCGTATCTCGTGGTGTCGGACGCGCGGGGGTCGCTCTTCGGTGACGGATCGTCGCATCGCGGCTCCTGGTCTCACAGACCGGAAAGCAGCGAGTGCAAACACGACGCGGACAAAGGGACACGCGCGGTCGGTCGACCCTCACCTTTGGCTGCAAATACGGAGCTCCGGCGGCCGGCGAACCGGATGCACCCCCCAGGTGCGATCCCTCCGCTTGCTCGCACCGACGTCGAAGGACGACGTGAACGACGAGACGATCGCGTCGACGGTGAACAGAGCACGACGGAATAGCGAGGAATACGACGGATACTTGTGCGTGCGTGCGTGCGCGAGAGATACGTGACTTACTCCGGCGTGCGTGAGTGCGTGACTGCGGGAGAACAGAGAACGAGAGCGTGCGGGGATCCGCGTGGGCCGCGAGCACCACGAGAGCACCACCGACTCGTACGTGGTCGGTCTCGTACACTGCGAGGTCTCCTTCAGGGGGTAATTTTCTACTGGCCGATCGATACGCGGCTACGGCTCCCTCTCTCTCTCTCTCTCTTTCGCTCTCTATTCCCCCTCTCACTCTCCTCTCACCCTCCTCCAGTTTGATATCCTACCCTCCCGCTTTCCACCCCCGATAGCTGCTTCTCCGTCGTTCTCGGCTCCCCTCGCTCGTCCGTTTCTCTCTCCCTTCAGGGGCGGATCCGGAAAGGAAACTGTATTAGGGGCTCGAATTTTTCTCGCTCACGTGTACGTTCTCGAGGTGCGTGAGTTGGTATCTTCCAGTGAGGCACACGGGAAATCATCCCTCGATGCGCGTGACCAGGAGGGCTCGGGGGATAACGATAATTCGGTTTATCGGTTTGGGATTTTATTCTTTGACTTTTACCGCCGCCCTCCCTCCATTTGCCTCCGGGGCTCTCCACGATCCACCACTGTTAGCCCTTTCTCTATCGCCCTCCCCTTTGTCTGTCCGACCATCGCACGCGTGCCCGCAACCCTCGACTTTATTCGCGCGCCTCTGCTCCCTTCACGCGTATACCGGGTGTCTGCAACGAGAAGTCAATGTAGTTGGGTGATTACTTCGGGAATACGCGCGCGCACGACAGGAGCGTAGGGTGAATAATATTCTTAAAGGGTTCCCTTGGGACGTTTTTTGGGAGCGTTATGACTCCCTTTTTGGACTCCCCGCACCTTCGTAAGCGGTTAATCCGTCGACACTAGCGCTAACAGCTGGATCTCTGCCTGCGATTTATCTCCCGACATATTTGATGAGATTCCTCGCGATATTTTCGCAGGATCACTCGCACAGCATATCTCACTCAAACTTAGGATAGACTCTTACCTCGTACGAGCGCACGGAGAAAACAAATTCTGCTAGAAGAACAAATGTTTGTCAATATAGTAACAACAAAAAAAAAATTTGTTCGGACAGCAGAAAGATTTGTTAAGAATATTATATCGCTATTTGCTGGATATATGAACAGCAAAATAATTTGGTTACGCCAATTAAATTTCATTGCTGCAGCAACGACGTTTTCCAGCAAAATTATTTTTCCCGTTTAACCAATCTTCTTGCTGTCGCAATATTAACAAACAATTTGCTGTTCCGGCAATACTTGTTTTCCCGTGTGTGAACGTTTTTCAATCGATTAGAGTGAATTTGTTCCCGTGGAGCGGGCAACTTACGCGAGCCTGGTGGTAGCCGGTTTGTGAAAGATTAATTTTTAATCCGAAAAAATGCGTCGCGTCACAGATTCGCTCTTTAACTTTGAATGAAAACACTCGCTCGACGATTCAAAGCGGGTATTTTACTCACTGACAAGTATCATTCGGAAGCATGCAGATTCCGAGTGATTCACGTCGCTCAGTTTTTCGAGCGGAACCACTCCCCGAAGACGTACGGGGAGCGCAAAAGCGACGTTTCTCGGCTGCAGTTATATCACCGTACAATTACAGTCACAAAAATACCGAACGCTCTGCTGCCTCAGGCTGCGGATACTGCGACTGTCCTGATATTTTATTGAATATTCTTCCGAGTCAACGACCGCGCAGCCGGTGTATACTGTCCTACCCGGGACTGGAAGGAGCCCTTGGTTTGGCCGCGATTTCATCGGATGGAAATTATAAGCATATTAAAGAATCCTCGAGAGGAGAGGAAGATCTCGGCGCTGAGAGGGCGAGCGGCCGGTAGCGGCGCGCGAATCGATTTTACGATTTATTAATACCGTCCCGTTTCACAAAAGGATCTTCCTGCCTCGCGTAGATGTCTGCGCGTGTGCGTGTCACAATAGAGGTGGAGATCTCAACTACGTATCGATTATGAATATAATCGGTATTTCTCCCCCCCCTCTCTCTCCTTCTCTCTTTTTCTCGTAACGTTGTGTTCAGCCACGGCAATATACGATTTGTCCTGGCAATCGACGATTCTCTCTTTTCCCCGTTTCCTATGCTTCCGCCGAGTTATTCATCTCGAGCTTTCTGTGCCGACGAGTCGCGCATTTGAGTGGCGCGGTGTATTCGCGGAATAATTTCTTTCTCACTTTTCTTTTTTTCAATGTAAGGCGCACCTTAGTCACCGCCGCCGCGCTATCGTGTTTAATTTCCCCGAGAACTGTTAATTAGCGTTAGAGGCAGCGAGTTGTCAGCAGTCAAAGCGACTCTTTTAATCACGACTCCGGCGAAATGCGGCGCAAGAACTAAATCCGCGCGTCTAACAATAGTCTCTTTAAATTAATAACATCGTCAGCATCGTCAGATAGCACGCGTCGAGATTCAATTACTCATTTGTGTGCTATTGTTTTTCCGCAAACGCTGAAATTACCTTTCCCTAGGTAAAGTAGTTGCGTCGCGGAGTGCCGTATTTTTAGTGGTGCCACTCATAAATTGTCAAGGAGCCACTTATCAATTTAATAATAATTATATATTATTTATCAAGCAAAATTATGCTCCAAAATTTATCGCACCAACTAAATAATTAATGTTAACTTGAAACAAAACTGAGGTAGACATATATGTATACAATATTACAAATACGAAAATATTATTTTTAATTGTTATTATTAGTGGTATTTTTATGCATCAGTTGATCTAATAGAAATGCACAGATAATAAAAAGACATGTATGTGTATTTCGAGTATTATCATAAGTTATGAATTTTACACTACTATATTTTCAAAACAAAATAACCAATAATTATGAAATTTTTGTGTAATGCCTCTAAATTATTCCTTAATGTCATAGCAATAATTTATCGTAAAAACCTTAAATGTAGTTTAGAAGAAATTAAAAATAAAAGTTAAAAATAGTACATCGATTTCAAGGAATACGCATAAAAAGTGTCATCTTTAGTTATGAATATCTCAGTTTCCGAATGTTCAATCATTTTTTAATCGCTCCAATAATTAGGTCATATTTAAATCTAAATATAGCGTATGTTTCAACGAATTCTTAAAGAAGCTCATTTTATGCTACAATTACCTTAAATTTTCCAATAAATTATTGATTTCGCTTGTAAAAATTATTATAATATAAATTATAATATACAATTGTTAAATATATAACATATAATTATTATAAATTTTACTTTGTATATATTGATTGGTATATGCACTTTATTAATTTTTCGGGGTCAATCCGCAGCTTCATCGATGACTCAAGAATTCCTCTATCTACGTAAATAAACAGAAACGTTGAACCGTATCGTTGTAACCCGTTATAAGAGCGAACAAGCGTCGCGAAAGAACGACGTCTTATATTTGAAAAAAAAAAACCGACCCGGCAAACGCGATGAATTCAACGGAAGAAACTTTGCGGGCTTAAAGGGCAGCGGTATAAACAAACGTAAAAAAAACCGCTTTCACACCTACGCTAAAATTCTCACATGCTGTTATAATAGAAGCACGCATTTTTCGCGCAAATGCCACGTGGCGCCCGGAAACGGTAAAAATTATCAATTCGAGTGTATGAGCCCGACGATTAAATTATTCTCGTCGATGGACGATATCCTCCGATTCATCGATTCGTGTACAATTATTCCCACGAGGAAATTCAATAATGGACCTTCCCTAAATTCTAAACGAATACGAAATGTCAAACCTGCTATACAGAGTGTGATTAACTTCAATACGGTCAATTAGCATGCAGTTCCCACAACTAATTACGCACAAGTAATTACGACGATTGATTCGCGCATTAAAAGAAGATACGTTCAAAGAAAGTGAGACAATAGATATTTCATTATATTTACTCGAGCAAATTATCAACGGATCATTTTCCATTTTTCTACTTACATTGATGTGTTACTATTATTGTTGTGTTAATATTGCTCTCTTGCATGCATACTAAAAGAAATGCTACATTTAAATAAATATTCGCTAAAGAATATTGGAGTAATTATTTTAGATTAAGTAAATGTTACTTGAATGGAACACTTTTTCCATTCACATAGTGTACTACATTCAAATAATATTTACTTAATCCAAGTAAAGTAATTACTCCAATGTTCCTTAGCAAATGTTTATCTAAATGTAACATTTTTTCTTTCAGTGTACGCGAGAGAGCTATAACAACACGACACGATAACACATCAACGTAAGTTATAACGTAAGGATAAACGGAAAATTATTCGATGACGATGTGCGCGCGCGTAAATATAATGAAAAGTCTATTGCCTCACTTTTAGCCATCATAGTTAATCATTTTTCTTATCTTAGACTTTCGTATTCTTATATATATTCGAGAGAAAGAGAGTACTTACATTTATACGTATTTGTTTCCATTATAAGAGGATATTATATACACGTTTCTTCTCTTCCCTCCCCTCTCCTTCTCCCTTGTCAACGAAAAGTTCATCGGATCAGAGAGAAACAGTGAGGAACGGACGACTCCGTGTTTCGTATAAATCAGTAAAACGGTATTTTCCCCAAGCGGACGCTGATTTGTTCGCCGCGAAACTTTCTGCAAATTTACGAAACTTGGCGGAGCCAAGGCGAGGATGGGCGAAGCCGGTTGTCGGCGCGGTTGCTAAGAAACCCGTCCCGAGGAGTACGTGTACTCGCGACTGGGTCATGGTGCCGCTATCACTCGATAAGATCCCTCTCCCCCGCCGGGTTATACAGCAGTCGCGTCTCTCTTTCTCTCTCTCTCTCTCTCCCGCGGAGCCTGCATCCGCCGTATGAGCCACCCCCGCGCTTCGTAAAATATTTCTAAAAATACGTTACGCGCCGGCAGGAGGCGGCAACAGCGACGACGATTCACGGGACATCTCGCATCCTTTGTGTTTTATCATCACGCTGCTGGGCTGCCTGTGACTCGCATGCTATGCGATATACATCGCAACAAAATTATTCCATCCGCTGAGATAATTGATAATTTCACGTGCCACGAGGGCAATAAGCGAACGAAATAAACGATCGCGAGTAATTTTTATGGAAGTCATCCCTCGAATTAAGCGCGATGCGTGCACACACGTGAATTTCGACAAAACCTTCGCACTCATTAAGTCAAATCGAATTAGCCCGCCTTGCCACCAGTGCGATACGCATCGAGCAAAATTGTTCCGTCTCCGTTGAGAACTGATAATTTCATGTGCTCCGAACGGGATAAGCGAACAAAATACAAGGTAATCGTGAGCAATTATTGCAAAAGCCACCCTCGAATCGGGCACGATCGCGTGTACAGTGAATTTAATGATGCATTAACATTTAATATTTAATCAGGCTGAGACTCTCAGTAGCTTTTCTAGTTGTTCTCTCTCGTTGTGTCTGGATGGGTATAATATAATTCAATATGATACGGTGGTGATATGACATGCCAAGCTGTGAAAGTGACTGATTAGCCGAATGATCAACAGTTATGATGGGTACATGTATCCAGACATGATGCAAACGATCATAAAGACTAATGAGTTTTTGCCTGGTAAATGTCAAGGATTTATCGGATCTCGATGTGCTCTCTAAATTTCCTTCGAGTGAAATTACGCTGAAAAAGTAGAATGACAGCCGCGAGTCACTCGAATTCGAGCGACTTTCGCTCATGCAGAGAATG